CTATGCGGTGTCTGGACTGATGTGACAGTTAATTGTTGCATGAGTCTACATATTTCTTAAATGTTATGGAAACGCATCTGGATAAAAGTTCACATAATTGATCATATGAATGATTATAGAACAACACATAGAATAAAAATGTTACATTTATTTGTATAAACTTACTATTCACATTCATCATAGCATACTTGTAAGCTGAATTTGACAAATGTTATAGGTGAATGAGACTAAGCTGTTACAAACATTAAGCAATGTAGATTTGAATCTTCTACGACGTATCAATTTCTCTAAGACTGAAAATATATCTTGATAATGCTAAGTATCAACTAGCATAAAACCTAGCTTATCGAATGTCCCACTGGTTGACTCTAATCGTCTAAAATGTTGTCTTATTTATTTACTGTCATACATTGAAGGATGTTTTTATTTTATTCAGCATATCATTAAACGTATGTGTTGTTCAGTTTTGAAAAGAAAGTGATATGATGGAAAGAAAAGCCAATTTTCGATTGATTTACTCAATATGAGTTTTATTCATCATTACTTCCGCTTTGATTCAATATAATGATTACTCAACGTAGTATTTCTTTTCTTTTCTTGTATGATATTTTATCCTGTATAATATACGATATTCTTGTATTCCATCAATCTGAACTATGCTCAGTATGTGATTTGTTATAACTGATTATGTGATGTAATCCTAATCACTAATCAAAATTGGTGTACAATCAATATATAAACCAGTGTATTTTAGACTATGATCATCATCATCATCGTAGTCGTCGTCTTCATAGTGTTTTGGGGCTAATAAATCTTCACTTATACCAGTCTTTGTGTTCTTACTTTGAGTCGTGGGAATTGCAGAAGTCCCTCGTTCCAAGTATAAGTGACCAGCTTTTTTTTTCGGCACAGCAATCAGAGACGACCAAACATAACAGAAAGAGAATAGAATGTGACTTAACTAATGTAGTAGTGAGCTAGATAACTTATTTATATGAACGATTATCATGTAACCAAATAATGTTACATATTGTTATGAACCATCATACTATCGGATATTCATGTGAATTATTTCTTTAGCATTAAAGACAGAATAAAGAACCATCAAGGCCCTAGAAACTTAATTGAAAGGTGTCTAGAAAGTCAATAAACTATAGCGAATCCGCACATGGAATATTAGATCATTCTAGTATGTGTGAAAAACATTTTTGAAATCTATGCAATTGTTTTGAAATTTCTCCAAAACAATATCGTAAATTCGGCAAATTAGTGGCCTGATTCTATTTTGTCCAGACCAAACAACAAAATACCTAGATAAGATAATTACAAGATTATCTACAAAAGAAATTGTACCTATTGTGAAAAACTTTACACTGAACCAAGTGATTGTATCCTTTAACATAGGACGGTAGTGAAACGAAACATATCTATGTATTAGGGCGATAGCTATAAGCGAGAATTCATTAAAATATCGACATTCTAGGCGAAGAAAATTATAAAAATGTTAGAGAATTTCTACAAGCCTGTCATCCAAATCAGTTTGAAAACATTAAGCTTATTCAGATAGATCAAATTTAGCAATCCATTCTGGAAAAGTAAATTAATCACACAATCAGAAGTTACCAGATAAAACGGTTAATGTGAATAAAAATATACCTGAAAGTAATATTACTGGTGAAGATATTCAGTCACAAAAATGTTGGTCAGGACGGATTTATTGCTTTGAAGATGATCTTTTTTAAATAGTCTACTTCAACTCTGATCTCGCCTCAGTTATATATACATCTTTCACCTTTTACTAAAGATTTCCATAGGGAATTACAATATAATGAATATTATCTCATTTTTTTCAACTCCGTCTCAAATCAGTTGATGAGGTAGTAAATTTTCATCAACTAATGTAGTTAGGGCATGTATCACGTATAATCAACTAAAAGATGATGTTTGTTGGTCTGGAAGTATGGTAGAAGGTTAGGTAGGGAACCAAACCAAAACTCGATATCAATTCATAAAGATCGTTGCATTAAGTCATATTGGTGGAAACAGACTAATTGGGTAGGGTCCATTAGATAATTGTAATCAACAGTATGTGTTTGATGGTACGAGTCAGGAACGATCATAACAGTGCAGATTCACTTACTATCTTCCCTTATATCCTGACATTTTCCTTAATAATTTTATTTTACTGTGCTGATACCGTGTATTGACTTGAACTGATGAACGTTCTACATTGCTAGTGATTGACAACTTATTTCTACTTCTACGATTGTCCGGGGAAAAAAAGAAAGCTCATCAATTAAATTATGTAACTCATATAAAACGGAACACTACGCAGAAGAGACCATTTATGCAATGTTTTTCTCCAGCATTTTAAAATTTCATTTGAAATAGATATGATGGCTACATATCACATGATTATTCAACAAACAATCGGATATTTTGCTAGGAAATAACACAAACGACAGAAATCTTGTTCAATACACTTCTTAAGTTATACACGTTGATAAATACCATGGGGTCAGATCGATGTTTTGTTTGCCTATTCCAGTAGTTATTTTTAATGAAATGAATTATTCACTGATTCATACGTTTGGGACGAAAATATTAGACTATTGGGCTAATTTAAGTAACAACCGGTTGTGGTGTATCCGAAAATAGAAAATTACAAGTGTTGAAGGCTTTCATGAATCTTCCTGTACTGTTTTTTAAATAAATCTATTAATTTGTCTTCACATGATCAATATATTTAGCGAATTCCAATTTTCCATTAGAATTCCCACTACTATCAAAATGACGAGAGAGGTCATAAATACTTTTTATTGTTCAGATTCACAACTCAGTTGAAATACCAAAATGTTGTAATATATCAATAGGTATACACAACTAATACATTTTGTTAACTGATCGTGCATGTTTATATAAATTACAGACTAAAGATCATATTGACAGTGACCATGTTAAAAGACCGTGTGTACTGCATCCAACGGAGAGAACAAGATGGAAATACTGGGACGTAGTGGACCATTATGTTAGTGAATAGGAGTTAAATTATCGACTAATTGATGAAATGACCTGATAGTCGAAGTAACTTTCGGTTAACAAGTTATTGTATTAAATCTCAACCCTAATGACGTATGTAATTTATTTTTAAAATAACAGTTGACTTTCTTGTTTTATATACTTTCGAAGTAAAACATTAATTCAAGTCTTTATTTTTCCCATCACAACTAGTACACCTGTTATCAAACTAGCAATTTGTACTTTTTACCGATTTATATAATCAATCCCACGGTTACCACTCACTTATAAACTGTTTTGATCGGTTTTTTTTTTCATATGTGTATTTAAGTATTACTGTATATTAAAGCCTGATGAGGATCTAACTAAAAATAGTGAATTAAAGTTTATGAATTGTTTTTCACTATAAAGCCGGCATAAGCACATTAAACTTGGAATATGCAGTTGTCATCTAAGGTTAATTTACGTCAACAACACTTGACATTAACTGATTACTTTACGATTGTTTAAATCATGAGTCAATTGAAGCTAGACTACTATGAAAAACCTCGCCCCCCGCGAGATTCGAACCGAGGACTTATAGGTCTCGAGAACGAGCGCTTAACCATTAGACCACTGAACCAGCATCCAACGGTGTTACTGTTCAACTTCAACCAATCTACGAAATTGCGCCACCGTACACCATTGTCTTCAGTGCGCTGATATTTCACAACACACCTGGTTGATCTCCACTGGTAACGGCTTCTCACTACAACTCCAGGAAATGCCTCTTGGAGGCAGTCACTATTGGGCAGATGATTATTATTATTAGAAAGGAGTTTTGTGGATATTTTAGTAATTTTAAATCATGAGTGCTGGGTTCGAATCTCATGAGGCAGGATCGTGGATGAGCACTGCCCAAGAGTCCCATACTAAGACTAAACTGCCGTTCAATGCTTCCAGGTTTTCTATGGTAGTCTAGCTTCAATTGACACATGATTCCAACTATTGAAATTACTAAAAATCACCAGAAAACCCCTTCTAATGATTACCTTACATCTGACCTCTTCCAATCTAATCATCATTATTGACTGAATTGTATCATTTGTTTATAGTGATTTAACAACATGATATACGTTATTTAATATTACAGATATTTTGTTAATTGATGTAAAATAGTAACAGAGGATGTTTAAAAATCAATTATATATGAATCACTATAGTACTATTTCAACTGTCCACTTTATGAATGTGATATTTAACTAAACACAAACGAATTTGATAGATTGAACCAATTCAAATTGATCACATGCTATGGATCATATGAGAAATGTTAATGATTAAACGGAATTGGTTGAAATGTTGATTTGAAAACATAATTAAGAATACATTATATTTATTTTTGTATGTAAATAATATTTATACAATAATATTAAGTATCATTTATTTATATAAAAAATATAACGTGACAGATTCCAAATAATAATTAGAAAAAGAAACAAACAAACAAACAAACAAACAAGTGGGAATAAGCAGGAGATCATGAAATTGTAACATGGACAAAAGGAGAGAATCAACAATAAATTAAAACCAAAATATAAACAAATAGGATATTAGAGTTTGTTTAATTTAAGTACAATAAAATTTCTCTTTTCTAAAAAAAAAAACAAAAAAAAGAAACAAACCATTATACAACAAGATCAAGGAAATGATTTTAAAACTGAAGAAGAGACATTATTACTTATTGTTATAAGAAGGAAAACAATAATAGAATTCACATTAGTGATTATATAAATATATAATAATAAAATTAAGGAAATGTTCCTGACCAAAAGAAAAGAATAAAACAATAAAATATATATAGTGGATTTAGCGGGAGAAAATTGTGAGAATCATGAAAAAACAAACAAGGCAAGAAAAGAACGAAGAGGTAGGTAGGTAGGTAGTTATTGATACTTTGTTTAACTTCTGTGACAGCCAAGTATATATATATATATATATATATATATATATATATATATATATACGATAAAAGTCATAACAATAATTATTTAAAAACAAAACACAAACAAACAATACCAGTAATGAAACAGTAATATTAAAAAATAAATGGCACATAAAATTGTAGGGAGAGAGAGAGAGAGAGGAAGAGGATGGGAGAGGTAAGAATGTTGCGCCTAAATTTTTTTTCACTCTCTTATTTTCATATTTTCTTGGAAATTCAATAAATCGAGGACTGTAAAAGTTTTAACATTGTATGTAAGATGTTGTGATGTGGAACGATTGGGTAAAAAGAAAACAAACAAAACAACCCCAGTTGATGATCGCTAATAGAAGGAGCAGGAGGAATAGGGAAGAAATCATAAAAAGATTTTTATATGAAAAACAAAAATGAAAACTGTACAGAAACAAAGAAATGTGTGCTGTTATTATTAGTTTAACGTCGTCACACATATACAATAATAGTTTCAACAATAAAATGTGCAAACGACAGCAATAAAGGTTGATACTAATGAGTAAGTAATGTATAAGTGAAATAATTCAGGGACAAAGACTAGGTGGGTCGGTTATTATTTGTTGAGAAGAAAACACCAAATAAAAACTAGTTAAATAATTATAAAAATGACAAATATGTAAACATATATTTTGTATATGTGTAAAAAATAATCATAGAAATGGATTTCGACATTTGTGTACGGTGAAAAGTAACATAAAACATGAGAAAGGTAAAAGAGCACGGGATCATAAAACTAACCCAATCAAAAGAAACTATTGAGAAAATCATATACATACATTTACCAAGGCATGTAAAAAGAAAAAAACACAACAACCAAACAATGACAACATTTCAAAGGAATTTAAGCGAATATAAATACATAGAACAAAAAAATCGAACAAATAAATTGAACATTCTCTTTTAAAATTATCAAAAGAGAAGAATAGTTAAACGATTGGTGAAATAAGCAAAATTGAGATCGTATAGTTTCACGCTAATTATTTATGTACAAACTGCCCTAAACTCTCTCTATCTATCCTTCTCTGTCTACAGGTTTCTCTCTTTGATATACATACAGTAATAATAATAATAAATAAATAATCAATGATCAAATACAGATAACAATTAGAGATCATCTTGCATGAATATATATAAATAAAGAAACAACCAAGAAGAAGAAGAGTTAGCACAGAAGAAGAATATGTTTGAAGGAGAGGGATTAATAAATAAATTAATCGGCAAACAAGAGAAAAGTGAAAATCTAACAGAAATAAGTCACATTTCTGAGATTTTTTTTCTGTGGACAAATAAATAAGATTGTTTCGACTGTCATATTTCAATATACACACAAAAGCAATGAGCGATGGGAGACAGTAACATACACGAATAACAAATAAATTGATTTGAAAAACAAAATTATAGAAATTAATAAATGAGTAAAAACTGATGGTAATGTAGAAACTCACTTAGCACAAATACCAGCTATTAGAGCGAGCAGGTTTCACGGGCCATTTCTGGTATGTGCATGATTTGGTAATAATCGTTTCCGATTGGGAAAAAAGCACAATAGACAAGTGTGGTATCTATACAAAACTGAATTGTAGAGCTGAAAATGACAATATTGGGCATAAAAATTCATTATCTCTTTCTTTCTTACATAAATATACACACTGTATCTGTGTACGTGAGATGGTGTTTATATGTGTAGGTGTTATGGATAAAAATAGAAAAAAAACATGCACATAGAGAATAATGTGAATAAAATGGTTAATTGAAAGAGGAAAAAAGGAGCCAGGCAACCGAAACGGTTAAGGTGACACACGCGCACGTATACATAAATATGATCTAAATGTAAGTCAAAAACTAAGATTAAGAAATACGTTTTTCTTGGAAATTTAACAGAGAAAGCATAAATAAAAGAAAGAAAACATAAATGTAAAACAATGCATGTACACATGTGTATATATGCAAGCATGTATGGGCAAAGCAATGTGTGGCTGTGGTAAGTGTTAGAGTCTTAAGAAAATAGTTTTACATAAACATGAGGACATTTTAAACAACTAAAAACATGAGGTAAACAGGAACGGAAAACACAAAGATTATTTTAAAAAAGCAGTATGTGTGAGGACAAACACGCATATATATATATATAGCACATAGTCGAACAGGACAAGAACTAACAATGGTACAGAGTATGTAAAAATCTAGTTTGACACTACTGAAATAATAATATTTAGTAGTAGTGGTAATAATAACTTGGATATACATTTCTGTTTATACGTGGAAGAGAACAATGAAAAATAATCACTAAAAAATAAAAGTCAATTTTCATAAGTAAACAAAATGATGAAAGGATAAAATTTGAGCAGGTAGATGACAGACAACCTATCACTAAATTACATACTATCTCATTTTCATTCATGCATAAGGTTGATAAGAAGGATCCGGTAACAGAGACAGACAACAGACAGAGAGAGAGAGAGAGCCTCGACAAATTGCACATAGTATCTATCCAACACTATATTACTATTTTAATAAAAGTTCTTTATAAAAAAAATAGCGCACCATCTGTCCAAAGACAACAGAACAACATGTAAACTACAAATAGCTGAATTTACACATAGTTCTCGGTTGCTTTTCCTTCTTCTCACCTACAAATCAACCAACTTTTTTACGGGTTCCACGACCAATCAGACGTATAGAACGACATAATGTTTTTTTAACAGACGTAGTACGATCAATTTTATTTGAATTACTACTACTCCATCGATTAGCAATACGTATGCCAGTTGTAGTGGAAGGTAATTTATGCAACATTTGATTTTCTTGAGCCATAATATCACCAGATAATTCGCCTAGTGCGATTGTACGTGCAAAATCAATTTGTGTATAGTTGACACAATTTTCATCAGGTGGCGAAGAACTGGATAGTTCTACCATGTCTGAAACAACTACACCACCACCTTCTACTGAAGAAATACCAGATGATGTCATAGAACGGCATGAAAAAGTATCACCAAATGAAGTTGACGAAACAGGTACTAAAGAAGATCCAGTTGATTGCGATGATGATGACGATGATGATGTAACTCCAAGACCACTACTACTACCATTCGATGAATTAGGTGAATTGCCGAAATCGCAAATTAAACTCTTATTATTATGGTTATGATTAGAATCACCTACAGAACATGGACCAGATAATTGAACTGTACCATCGGCAGTTGTAGTTATCGATGTAAAACGACTATTAGATGCAGCGATAACATGAATATAATTCAGTAGAATTGATGGATGGTCTGTTGTAGTTACGGATGATAAACTATGACTGTGCCTACGACGTGATGAAGAAATTGAGCCAGTCAATAAGTTGCCATCATCACCACAACCACCGCTATATGAGTCGGTATCAACTGAATTTTTTGCTTTCAATTTGTTTAGTTTATTATTATTATATGAATTGTTATTATTAGAAGCACCAATAGTTTCGTAACTTTCAATAGTATCCGATGTTAGAGTGGCTGCATCACTCGTACAATCACCGCTACTACTACTACTGCCGGTACTAGTACTACTACTGTTACAGGTTGTAAATTGACCAGTACGGTGATCATTATGATGTTGAATTATGTTCAGTGTTAATTCTGTAGGTGGAATAGTGGAACTTGCTGGACTAGGTCGTAAATCCACCATAGCATAATTCCGACTAGGATCACGGACCTGAAGTGAATAGAGAAACAAAGAGGGGAAAGAGATGTAGAAGAGCATGGTGATGAACGGAATAGAATGCTAGTAGTCAAGCCTGATTTTTTTTAAAGATGTTTAGAGAATTTCTTCTATAAAATGATATGGAAGTAAATAAACAAATCTGGAGTGTTCTGATTCCAATTAAGTTTAGACAGTGAAATTTCAAAGCGAATTCGATGCTTACATCAAATACTCATCAGCCACCGGCCTAACTCGACATGCGATGTTTGGTGTAGAAGTAGGCTGGAAGAAAACTACGAACAGCCAAACCAAAAATGGCACCAATTAATGAAGTCATCGACAATTCAACTAAGCCGTTTTAATAGGTGTAGATTACTTAGTTGGAGTCCGCGTGATTATCGTAACCGATGACATGGCTGAAAATCGTTTACAATAGCGCGGATACATCCATACCTTATCTTCACCCAAATCCTAAGCTTTTAGATTTCTCATAACTTTTTTGTTTTATTCCACTAATTTACATTTCCATGCCTAGTCCTTCTCATTACCACTGATATTGTTATTACCTCTACTACGCTGGGATTCAGCCTAACTACCTCATCTCTCTGGGATAGTAGAATATGGTAACTTTAATTGACGTATATGCGTATCAAATTCTAAGTTGCGACTGACCGACTAAATCAATTACACATGAAATAAAGCAAAATTTAAAAGAGAATACTACGAAAAAATGTATATCGCAGGTCAAAAGAATGAGTTACCTACGAGGAACACAGAACCTGCAATTAATTTGTATCTGTCCAAGAGTTGACACATCGAACTACTACTATCAGTGATAGTGTAGTGAACAATAGCTTAAGCAGGTAAAACCGATTTATTGTTTATACAGTGGCTTAGTAGATATGAAAATCATACATTAAATGCATCATTTGCACATCTCCTTTCGTTGTTATTTCGATTGCTCTCAGATTTCCTTCTTGATCTCTTAATTGCAATCCTCTGAGGTCAGGCATTTCACTTTCTGTTAGTGCTACATACTACTTATATGTCGGCATAAGTAGCATACGCCACAATGATAACATTGGTACTAAAAAAATCGCGTGAGTACCAACCGGGAAGTCTGGATCTATCAAAATCGCTCAGACTAACATCAAATGAACTCACGGACTGATATCACGTTTTGGTTAAAAAGCTCCCACTTTTTATTTAACGTACAACTCAACAGCATCAAACACTAATCATCAAGGTAGGTGGTAGTGATCGGGACATGAGTAATATCTGTCTCAGTTGATGAATATTGAAGATCTTATTATTCGATTTATCAGCTTTGCTAACTACCCTATGTCTAACCTAAATATGGCTTACTCGAGATTCTCAACATACGCGAGCAATGCTTTGAAAGTAACCACGTGAAATCCCAGGTCATACATATAAAGTACACCAACGCGGGTTGTTTCTCAGTATACCCGCCACTTTCCAAACCCTTGACACACACGTCTAACCCACGAGGCAATGGAGCAACGTTATAAGATGCGATCCCGTGGTAGCGAGTGACCAAGAATAAGTTCACAAGCTATCTGCTCCCTCAGAATCCTGGAGCGAATGTGCACCTTTGGTTTAGAATCCGAGTTTTCCAATTCCCCTGGGGTGGATGCTCCGTACCACCAACTCGGTTTAAGTACCGAACATTTGCTTTTAGTCCTTTCAATTTCATGAACAACTCCGCCGTGAGCAGGCAGTGAGTAGAACTTCCTTTGGAGAGTCAATTTACGCCTGGCCATGTGACAGCATTTCTAAACGATGAGAGAACTCTCCCCACCGTCGGCCGTAGCAGGCCATTTGGGGGTCATGGCGATAACACATTAAATGTATGCCATAAGAACAGTACGTGCAGTCATCATACAGCTAACTTTATTGTCAGAGTGTTTAAAATTATCATCTTAGGTTTCATCTAGACATAAACAATAATCTTCCATGAAATGACTCGTAATACTGAAGTATATTTTACGCCATATACCACTGAAAGGTGAAATGTCTTATTTTATAATCGAATACTGAAAATAGAGATGTTATGTTACTTATTTTACAAGATTAATGGCGGTCTAAATTTGACCAATTTATAATTTCAATGAAACCCAACAATCTCCACAATCCTATACTCACAATTATCATATGCTTATTAGTGACTAGCTTCGACAGGAAACTCCTGGAGTTCCAGTGAGAAACCGTGATCACTGGAGTACAAGTGTCGGGTGTGAAATAGTTACTCATTGAAGACAATGGAAGATAGTTACGGAATATAACAGATTGACAGAAGTTAGATAATAATACCATCAAATGCCAGTTCAAAGGTTTACAGGTCGAGTGTCAGCGTGCGAGACTGAGTTCTTAGTTCAACTCCCACCTGAGAGGTCGTGAATGCACACCGCTGGAGAGTCCTAGGACGAAACAACTGTCCAGTGTTTTCAGTGGTGGTGTAACACTGATAGGCTCATAAATTTAATGAAACGTTTCAGAACGTTTGCTCTTACTAAAAAATACATAAATATATTAAAATCAAGCAAAATATTACCTCATCAGGTAGGTTCGAATAATCAGAGTTGCTGGGTAAATTTTCCGCTGCTCGTGCTCTCGCTACTACTGCTACTGGACAATATTGAGGGATTGTTGATGTTGTAGTAGGGATAAAATTAATTACTGAAGTAGGGTCCAGAAAATGAGATTTATTCGATATATCCATAATTTTTGAATTATGATCAATTATAACACCTGATGGCAGTTGTGACTCGCCATTTAATGAACTATTGCTACTACTACTACTATTACCAGTACAGTCAGCCACAGAGGGAGGAGTACCAACACCACTATAACGAATATGATTTTTGGACAATAAACTGAAGTCAGTTTTATTGTGTTGCTGTTTATTTTTAACTGATTGATATTTACCGGTAGTATTGAACGGCATTAAATTTGCATACAATCGAGGCTCTATTGTCGTTGTTACCGTCGTCGTCACATCAGTAGAATGTTGTCGTTGAAATGATGCGGACGACCTAGAAAACATTGACGAAGGTGTAGTAGTAGTAGTAGACTGATTACTAGACCAAAACATTGGTAAATTAACATAATTGGCTGTTGTAGATTGATTGGGATGGTGATGATGATAACTATTATCTTCATTGATAGTTGATGACTCAGATTGTAGGCTTCCAGATGTTGATGTTATAACCGAGGACTGAAGGGATGGAATCGACTTTAAACCATGAGTCAACATACTACCAACACCATCGTTACTCAGAGAACGAGCACTTTCTCGTAATTCAATCAAATTATTATAAACAGGCTAATAAGGAAAAAAGAGATACATATTGTAGAAGTAATTAACATTAGTGCGGAAAATTTTTTGAACTCTTTAAAAAAATTGAATCATATGGTTTCGAAAAGATATTTTGTGTGGGAAAGATGAACAGAGCCGGAGAAAATGAATCTATGGTTTAAAACAATCACTTGTATTGATGAAGACAGACTACGTGGTTAAAATTCACGCGATAATGGATGATATGGTACAGAATCTATTGCATTGATGTGAATGTATTCATTCAGTTTTTCCTTAGATCTCAAGCTTTTAAATTAACTTCTGATTACTTTCCCTAATAATGTTGATCATTGTTATATCTAAAACTTAACTTTTTGCTGTTCGGCTTACAACTTGAACACTCGAACATTTGCACTATCCCAGTTATAATCTTTTATACCATATACATTGATATTGCTACTACTTATATTAGTACCGATAATCTCCTTGTGCTGTGGTGTGATAATTTGAACTGATGAACACATAGTATCAGATTCTATATGGTTTACAACTAACTGATACAAAATATTGATGAGAAAGCTTAATTGTATTAACGATATAACAATAAACATTGTTAATCATAGAGGTCAAAGTTACTGTAAATAGTTAATAAACATTGGTTGATAAGTGTCGGTTACTTCTTTACATACATATACAAACATACATGAGTATAATATAATGAAATAATATATATTTAAGAACCTTACCATCAATATCGATAGAGTTGTTTAAACAATATCCGTTAATCTTAATTATGAAGTCAATGTTAATTTACTGAATACTGGCATGTCTTAATATATTCTGACAGTTACACCGGAATATTGAATTGAGCGCGTACAAATTCAAATATTACAATGTCATTACTAATTCAAATAATTTAACATCATGGTTCAACATTTTCTGAAGATAGGTAGTGGTTCGAAGTAGTCGGTAGATCTTGAACATGAGTTTCATATTGGTTGAAACTCAGGTGAGACACGTGGAATATTGACGAAATCAATGTTTGCTATGGGACTCGAACTCTCATCACCCAGCTTTACAGAGTGAGATGCTACTGAGTCACTAAGTTGCGACTGGTCTTATGAAGAACATAATACATCACCAAACAGTGAGTTAAAAAATAATTCGTATATAATATGGAATGTTTCCAGTTTCAGATTGTTTGGATCAGTCTGTTCAGGAGCGATGTGTAGCACTCAGTTGGATTGATGAGAGTGGATGCTGTGACTATAAGTTAATACTCGAAGTATTGATATATAAATCTTCGAAGTCTTACAGATCAGAAATCAGTCATAAAAATTAAATTTTTAACAGTAAGTAACAATAGTGTATGTGCGGCACAACTTGGTATGCAGCAAATCACGACTAACTGTTGCACAAAACTTACACCATTGTCAGTGATATCAGCCCATGATATCATGGACTATTAAACTAAGCCGGGTTGGTGGGTGGGAAGTATCAAATAAGCCATTTACGGGACTATCATGTATCAGAAGCCACCGTAATAACGTAGATCCATTTACTGTTAATTTTCGATTAAATAATGATTTTTACAAATATATTGCAATATCCTATTTCACAAATTTACTGTTTCTTCTCGATTCATATTGTCTATGCCGACCAAACGTTTTCTATTATCACTGATATTGTTTTTACTTTGACCACAACGGGATATGAATTGACAACTGCATCTCTGTGCTAATGTGGTGTGGCAACTCAAACTGATGTACGTACATACGAAAATCTACGTTGTTACAGACTGACTGAGATTTTAAGTTGTTCACAACTTATTGATTTACCAAATCATAGGTAGGGATAAATGATTCTTTTTGTGGAAATACTTAAGAACTGCACTGTTTTGCCCCTCTATAAAAAGTAAATGAATTAAGCAATTGACTTACATATTCAACAGGTATTTGTTGTTCAACATTATAATTGGAAAGTGTAGATTTATCATTAGGTTGTACATTGGACTTTCTAGATCGTCTGTTGACATTATTCTTATTATTATTGTTACTGCTAGAGGTATTTGTGGTTATGATACGAGAGAAATGATCAATTTCTGATTGATGAGAAAACTTTCGAGTTAATACATTATTTAATTTATCACTATTGATAGTAGTGTTTATTTTAAAATGATGATGACTATCTTGCACAGTGGAATTTTGACGGTCAGAACGATGTAAAAAATGTAAGCGATTATTGACTTTTTGATTGGTACTACTAATACTGTTACTGTTGGAAACAATATCTTGATTAGTAGTATCCACTTTTGATGAATTAACACAAATGAGATGAGTATTACTATTATTCCAAGTATTTTTATGATTAATTGATTGTTGACGAAGAATTCTTGTAGTTGGTAAAGTATTTGCTCGTATTGTAGGAGAGAAAATTGATGGAGATAATGATTTAACATTACTACTAATAGAACGATCAAACAATTTAGATAGATAAGATTGTCTATTATTACTAGTACTACTGTTACAAGACAGTTGATTTGTGGAATAATTAGGTTCATTGATATTGCTATCGATTAGGCTGTTTCCATAAAGTGCTTTAGACCAGGTAATATCACTACTTTTCGTTGTTGTTAGTCCTCCTGAAGAGGAGGCGGATGATGAAAGGGATTGTGTCTGTTTATCAGAATGTAATGATAGTTGTAATATGTCAGAATCATCATTACTACCGTGATGCATATCGCGTATACATGTAACATTCTCGCCAACAGTATCATTATCACTAACGTTTTGCTTTCTCTGTTGAGAAGATTCAATTAGACCAGGTATAATATTATTACCAATAACATTATGGTGAGAATTCATGCGTAACAAATACAAGCGTAATTCATTTAAAAATTCAACATCACAATAGTTAGATAAAGAGCCAACTAAAGATTTCTCAACAGTATTATTATCACGGAACAATGGATGATATTTCAAGTCAGTCGATGGTATTGGTGGTGATGAGGATGGCGATGATAATAATACTGAGCTGCCGCCAGTCATTATCTCTGATTGACATGATTTTTGTACATCTGATAACATACTATCATTATTATTTCTTTCTTTCATATTTTGTGATAAGGATAAAGATGATATTAATGATTCATAATGTTGAGAATTATTGAATGATTTCGAAGTGTTGTTGTTTAATGATAAATCATGATTATAATCTACACTGAATGATGATAATGAATGGATCAAATTAATTTTAGATAAACATGGTTCAGAACATGGTGAGGAATTTAATGATATTAAAGATGGACATCTATTACTAATCGGTGCATAATAGTAATAATTATTATTATTTGGAGAATAAGTATATAGTTGATTGATTATAGTTGAAGAGATAGTTGTATGTGATGGTAGTAATGAATGAGAAATTTTGTTTTTAGGAAGCTGATAAAAAGAGAAATGTAGATAATAATAATAATTTTATCATGTAATTTAAGTGATCTTAACTTTAGTTAACTTAGGTAGACCCTGTAGTAACTAATGACACGTTTAAAATAGGGATGATATGAATAGAAGTGGGGAAAAGCAAATAGTCAATCACTCAACTTGCATTAAAAATATGTGTTAGCCTACTTGACAAAGTTAAATTAACAAAAAGAAGAGTAAAGGAGTTGAAAAGACATAATAAGAAAGTAGGTATGAACGAATATTGTAATTCAAAATAGAAAAATAAAGAGTGCATCTGGACTGATTTTAAACTATGCCATCCAACGTCTCCAACTACTGATCAGTTTTTACACGAACCTTAAACAGGTAGTCTGCACATATCTAAACAGTCAAGTCCAATAGTCTTCATAGACTGATGATGTCTTGGCTTGATGACCACTAATTGGTTGCTCTCACCCTACTCCTACACCAGCTATGATTGGACGCATATCATACTGTCTAACCTTAGCATTGGATATTCTGTGGTTCTGTTATATCTGGTCGTCGCTGATTGCTGTCCCGGAAAACACTTATCATTTATACTTGAAACGAGGGACCTCTTCAATTCTCGCGACGCGAAAGTAAGAACATAAGACTGGTATAAGTGAAGATTTATTAGCCCCAAAACACTATGACGACGACGATGATGATAAAAGTGATGATCTAGTAGAAAGTACACTCATTTATATATTGACTGTACATCCATTTTGGTTAATAATTAGGAGGAAAACACATATGTAAAAAATACTCAGAGTTATAACAAATCACATATTGAGCATAGTTCATGTCAATGGAATACAATAATATCGCACATTATACAAGATAAAATATACTACAATGAGTAGTCATTACATTGAATCAAGACGGATGTAATGCTAAATAAAACTCATATCGAGTAAATCAATCGAAAATTGACTTTTCTTCCCATCATAACAGGTTCCAACATATTCGAACAATGTTCCGAAGGCGTCAGTGATCAAGTACTAGAAACCTACGAATAAACTCTATTTTAAATACTACGTTTCACAGAAAGAGTTATAAAGAGCAGACTGCTATCCACTATATATATATATATATAATAGGAAGAAATTTCAACTCACTGTGTGGGAACTTGTTACATCTATGATTAAAGAAGTAATATCATTATTACCATCATTACTTTCTTCGTCGAAGTTTGAATTTGTAACTTTTGATTCTTTGTTCTTTATATAATGTTCAGAACTTTTTCTACAATAATATTTTGATTTTTCTGTCGTTAAACGTACCAAGGATAGTGGTCGAGGTAAAGCGATAGGATTTAAAAAGTGAGGTGGCAGAGTTGATACTTTTGAATGCTTTTGATTAATTAATGTCGATTTTAAAAGTTTCTTAGACTGAGGAACACTGTCTTTTCTGCTAGTATTTAACCGTGAAATATGTTGTTGAGCATCATCACTACTAAAGTTCCAGTGAAGACTTTGAACACCATGGCGTGGACAAATAAAGATTCGACACGAAAGATCAAGATTTCTATCGAAACGATTTTCATGTGTATCATTTGTATCAGCATCATCATTGGTACAATTCCATGATGGTATATTTGTACATAAATTTTTTTTAGATTTCACTTCATCCCATAGTTGTGCGTCGAAATCCATATCGTTTAAAAGTTCTGATCTATCCATTGAAGTTTTTCCATATTGAAGGTTATCATGACTTTGAGAATGTTGTTTACGATGAAATAATCTGTAAATTATTTGACAGAAAAATAAAGAATAATAATGGTAGATGAACAACAAAGAAAAATTGTATATGCTTTAATTGTTAGTATAACTGAAAAAATATCAATTGTCTTCTTATTTTATAGCGAAGGAGTAGAGGGAGGGATACTGTTGGGAAGTACCATCTAGGAAGGAATGACCATCCAGAGCCTTCTATATTTTAAGTGTTAGAACGGCTCCCACAAAGCGTGACGAAACCGTCAATGGCTCTAAAGAAGCGATTCCATCTAGTCAGAATCCCCTAGAACCTTCAAGAATATTAACGTAGTATGCTGTGATTGAACGATTGCATAAACTTCCCATTTGAGGATTGACTGGATTATAATGATGTCAAAGCCTATACCAAAAGCTATAAATATACCTGTTTTTCCGTACATTTTTGACACTTACTTAAAAAATGCTGTTCCTGCTTTTTCCAATCTTCTTGATTTGCGAAACTGGGTTGTGGGCGTCCGAGTGCAGAAGTCGTATACCGTATTAGCCGTAATCACAGAGGACATAAAAAACGATATCTCAACTGAGGTCAATTTTTGGAGTATACAACGTATACATGAAACTAATCTCCACAAAACTTCTTCAACTAAGCTAAATGTAGCTGATTTACCAAGTGCAGTTAATTCCACCAGCTTTGAGTTATCCTTTATGTACAAAGGCTAGTGATCCTATCCAGTTACTTAGACCAAAGTATTGTACTTACTTTGATTCAGATGTCTAGGACCTTCATCTGCGACCTAGTGAATGAAAGTCGAACTATTAATCTACTATTCTATTGTTATTATAAGTGACCAATAGGTCAATCGATCAATCACAATTACAACATTCTAGAAGCTTACCTAAGAATAATTTTAATAGGATTACTTAAATTGCTATTTGTTAATGTTTTATTTCGCTATCAATGAAGAAATAGTTGTGAATAATAAAGTAGAGTTTATGTCATAGCATGCATAAAAATTTCAATCAAAATATTTTATGCCTTTATGAAAAAAGTCAGACAGTATTTTTGAGCGAACTGACTCAAATATAAAAATTACATTGAGTAGTGTATATTGGTTAAAAATCATGTTATAATTTGATTTATAAAGAGAGAGAAAAAAGATTAATAAGCAGTGCATATAACTGTTAACTGTTCTAGGAGAATTTCATTTATAGTACCGGCAAACTGAGAGTGATTCCAACACTTTCTGGTTTCGAATTTAGTATAACTGTAATGAATGAGCATTACACTAGTCTATATCAATTGATAAGATTCATCGATAAGAATTCGATAATGGTTCTCTACTATGAGTATAGCGGTAGCTTAGTGAATAAGGGGTTCAGGTTAGAATACCACTCTGCCTATTTCGGTTTGAGAAACCTTGTAGTATCATCAACCCTCACACCTAGTGTGCAATTAATACATGACTGCCTAATGAATGAGCCAATTTATTATACCTCACATGTACTATTTCATCCATACCCTAAAATTCTAAGCTCTGACTAATGGTACGATTCTGTTGACAGGATAAAGTTTGAATTGAAGACGAGGCAAATCATAAAGTCTATTGTTTAGGATAGTGTTTTCACGCGCCCGCTTGCTCAATAGCCAAAGTAGAACAAAAACCACAGCAGGCAAATACAACTCTGTTGTAAAGCTTAACATCTAACACAAACTAGCTTGATAAGTTAACATTGATTTACAGACCGCATACAAACATAAGAAATAACTACATCATAAATGAAAGAGAACTAGATAATAGTTTCATCATCAATTAACAATAAATTGAGGGATGTAAAACAGAGAATAATAGTTTACACACGGTGAAACAGCTTACAAGTAGGCGTAAACAAATACAATAGTTCAAGTATTAATTAATTATACAACAAAATATAAATAATGAATTCCGGTAGAAAAGTTCTGAAAGTTTGAGTTTGCTCACTATTCGCTATATTATAGGAATAACAAATTTAAAAAAAAAATAACCACCATCATTTCAGTCTATAAATAGACAAGTTGATTAGTACGATATACTATTAACTAACACAATATGTTTAAAGATCGGCAACTGATTAACCAGTCGATACAGATTAGTATTTTATGACGGAGTATCGCATTTGAAGAGGTAAATTGGTCAGTTATGAGCAATGTGGAACCTGGTATACATATATGCATTAGTACAAGTTGTCACGTAATACATCAGGACAACACGATAAAAGAGGACTAATAATAGTAGAAAACATTCAGTGTAGAAGATATGATTCTAAAGGAAAAGGAAAGTTGGTGGAATAAAAACAACTGAAGCGATTGTCTGTCAACCAACACCAAAGTCCGAATCTTCAATAGAAACAGAAAGACGATTACATTGTGCAGAGCCAAAACATGGATAACTACTGAAGCTGTCAGGAAAAAGGTACAGGTATTTATTAAACACTTGTCTATTAAAGATAATCCAGATGAGTTGGCCAGACACTATCAGCAAGAACAAATTAGCTTTCAGTTGAAGAGGAAATTAGGGGAAAAAGGTTAAAGATGGAAAGGATACAGTTTACAGAAATCATCAGACTGCAGCACAAAGTAAGCCCTAACTAGGAATCCTCGAGGCAAAAGGAAAAGTGGCCTGGGAATAGGATGCAAACGTCAAAGTGAACAGCACTTATATACAACTGGAAAAGAGCCCAAGAGAGTTATTTTATTTTGAACACATAAATATTGGTGGAAGGGCGCACCAGATATATATGCGCCACACAATAACAATGACAATGGGAAGAGAAAAATAATGTGAGATGCGTATAAGGGAGAAGAAAGGAAAAAAGAGAACAATAACGAGCACAGATTAGTGCATGGTAGTGGAATAATAATGGGGAAACGGAAAGGCACAACCAGAAAAAATTCTTCCAGTTAAGGAAGTCACAACCAATTTTTATGAAGTAAAAGAAGCTTACAGCAGATCGTCACTGGTTTGTATTCTGAGCCATATCTGATAACATCTCTAGCCACTGTGTTACACTCTCTCAGGCCTCAGTCAGGGAGTGGAGAAGGACCAACAGAAGCCAACCCTTTGTAGCTTTCCATCATACCACGACACCATGTCATACACTGACCACCTCTCCGCTTTTTCCAACCAGTACCAGTGTCGGCAAATAATGCACGACGAGGAATTCTCTGGGACGAGAGTTCGAGAATCCTAGACAGAGACTTATGCTCCACGAGAGGTAATAGGCGTAAGTAATGATCTGAGGGAAGACAAAGACTGCATTTAGTTGTGTGGTTGCGAACGATTCTGAGCCATGTCACCCAAATTCTCCAACCATTAGTTACGGTAATTCTGAGGACTCACTGCAACCAGGTAGGTTACTTCTAACCTACATCTCTTACACTAGCTATCACAGTGTGCCGAAACGCGGCGTTTGATTGGTTGGACGCACGTGTAATACTTATTTACAACCACTTCACCTGATGAAAAAGATTCACTGATAGATTAAGTTTAGCTTAAGATTACTTATCAACAGTGAATCCTTGAAATATAAGAAAAAACTAGGCGTGTGTTAAAAAAGTCGGTGAAAATAACAATAAAATTACCTGTGAATTTTTTGAAAACGACCTCCACAAAAAGATTTACATAGCGAGGAATGAACAGAGATATGGGGATTAGTACTAAATGATCGCAAAGTCCTGCAAAGTTTTGAATCGCGATCAGTAGCAGCAGTATTGTTCTCAACCAAACTGTTATCATCTATAGTTTTTCTACGAGAAACAATAGAACTGTCGAATGAACACATAGTTCTTAATGTTAAAGATGGACGATAATTAACAATTTGAAGATCATTATTTGATAAATCAATAAATTGAATGTTAGAATTCGCAGAAAGTGATCGTCGAAGTAATGATATACAATTACAAACTCGATATTGTTGTAATCGATGTCGGTAAATACATTGACTAGGTTCAATTGATGACAAATAGAAGTGAGGATAAACAAATGATGTATTGGTAAACCGATTAAGTTCACATGGATTAGATGGTGATTCTGTACATGTCTGCAATTCAACAGAATCAGATGGAATTGTACCAGCTAGAAAAAATAATCAAAAGCGAAAAAAATTAAACAAACAAAAAGAATGTTCATTTTAACTTGATATAATGTATACTGTTAACAACGTTATTTTGTTAAAGCCCGCGAGTCATAAGCAACATTGAGCCTGGGACGTATACGTATCGGTTCAAGATGTCACATCTTACATTAGTGAACAGAGATGAAATTGTCAAGATAAATGTCAGAGTTAATGGAATTTGTGAAAGTAATAGTAACAGTAGAAAAGATTATGTACACACAATAGGATTCGAGGACCAAGAATGAACTCGAAGAATAAAAACGTGTAGGATGATTGGGAAAACCAAGAACAAAGGAAAGATGAGGAGTGAATGGATTTGTGGCATTCTGACCAATTCTAATCTATGTCATCTAACATCTGCAATTAATGGTTACAACGATAAATTCCATAGACTGTCAACCAGATAGTATGTATTCACCAACATACTTCAGTCCAATAGATAATTTTAAATAGCGGGTTGTGGAGATTATGGAATTTCATTGAAATTATGGACCGATCAACGTTAGAACACCATTTAAAACACGGGAGAACTGGACGACCGTTTTATCCTCTCGTATAGGACTAATCAAAAGTACGCATACACGACCACACACATGGGAATCGAACCCAGGAACTCCGGTCTCACGCACGGACGCCTAAATTCTAGGTCACTAAATCGGCATCAAGCTTCGATCAGTCCTGGGTTTGATTCTCGCGCGAGGGGTTGTGGACACGCACTGCCGAGGTGTCTCATATTAGAACGAAAAGTCAGACCGGTGCCTCCAGGTCTTCAATGATGGTCTAACTTAGATCACTTCATAATTTCAATGCACGTTAACATTTTTTGACTTGTATCAAATCTTGGCTTGATACGATCCGAAATTGTCAAAAGTTAAATCTCGATAAAACCAGATTAACAAGATCACATGTTTAAAGTCTAAACTTACGCATAACACAGAGATTATCAGATTTATTTGATGTATCTGTAACACCAACTATAGTTGAATCCATTTTTGATGACTGAATTGATTTATGATGACAATTACTACTATCACGTAAATCCCAGTAGTCTTCATCTGCTGTAAATATTTCATGATTAGAAGAGTTGCGGTTACTTGTAACAGAAGTTGTAGTGGTAGTATTACTACAACCAGTAGTAATAGTAGTGGTATTAGTAATAGTTTTATCAGTATTACAAATATTCTTATTACTATCAACTTGATCTAAAGTAGATTCCACTGAAGATGAGGTAGTAGTAGTAGAACAATTTAAGTCTGAAGTGGATGTATTCAGTGAATCAGAGATTTGACAAGATGAAATAAAATTCAATAAACTATTATGATATTGTTGTGAATATTGTCTTTGTTTAGGTAATAAAGATTCAGGGTAAAGTTGTGTACGATTATATTCACTGGAAGATGATGATAATGAACTATGCATAAAATTATGAATATTGATACCAGAATCAGTTCCAATAGATGGAATAGGAACTGATGGAAGAACTGCAGTTGTAGAACATCCACTCGATGATTGATTACCACTAGAATTAGGACCATCGAAAATAAAACGATGATGAGTATGTTGATGATGACGAGTTGAAGTTGTAGAGGAAACACGAAATGAAGGTACTGTTGATGGTAGTGGTTGTTTACAGTTACCAGTTGTAACAGCACCACAAACAGTACTAGTAGTAGTATTAGTCATATTAGAAACGCCGGCAAAAATTGTACTAGCTGGTGTTAATCCGGAAATCCGTGTAGGATAACCACTTCCACTGCAGTGTTGTTGTTGATGATGATAGTAAGGTGGTTTTTTAGAAATAATTAAACCAGCTGCAACTTTAGCTACCTGTATATTATCATCAAGGAAATAATTCGTTTCAGACATATTCTCAATTATATCATTACCAATCATTAATGAGGAAGAAGACGATGAAGATAATACATTCACATCATCAACTAAACGAGACGATGAAGATATTGGGAATGTATTATTATTATTAGTCCCAGTATTACATAATGGTGAACATGAACATATAAATGAAGTAAGAGGATTGTTATTATTATTACTGTTAGACATAACTGATTGATCAGGATTAGATACTGTACTGAAATCACTAACATTATGCGACGTTTTATTTAATGAATTCATAATTTCAATTGGACTATTGTTACCTAAAAAAAAATTTTTAAAATCAACATGAACAGAATAAAAACCAAGTTTTGAAGTATATATCATTAATAGAAAACAGCTTGAGTTATCCTAACCAACACCATACCCAGCGAACAAGTTGCTGGCTAATGCAATGACCGTTTCAAGGCGGATATCAATACATTGAGATATGGCAGGTACAATTATATGGAAAATTCTGAGCTTGTTTAAACACAATCAATAAATACGAAATGTAGGTTGGTTAATAGCGACCGTGGCCTAAGATAAATCACATGATGCTTATACATATACATATAACTACATATATACTGCTCATCGACCGTTAGTTTTATCAATTTCAATTAGATGCATGTGTGTGTTCTACATAGTAAAAAAACTGTTAAAGTATAACACAGGCAGCTGAGGTCATCCATAGTGTTTTTGATGTTTAATAATCAAGCCCTTTCGGTTATTTGCTTGACCATGTAGTGAATGGACGTTGTGTACATTGGACAGTAAGCTTCACTTTAAAAAATTCAATATAATGTATTTTTCACCCGGAATGTTGGCTGCACTACACTGAACATGCTAATAGCTCCAAATGAAATCTCTGATGGAAATCGCACTTTAATTTGGTTAATTATTGATGAAATGAACGGGGAAAACAAGACTGAAACCGCTGAATACAACACATTTATTGAATATTGGAAACGGTAAGGACAAACTAAGAAGAAAAACTAATAACAATTTGTCACTATGTGAAAAGACAATTTAGAGTGATTGATTTGCTAATTTAGTAAGGGCTTTGTACAGTTTAAATCGATTTGTTATTTCAAAGTAGAAAATCGGAGATCGTGATGGAACTGTCGACTAGTCGCCTCCTTGGAAATCTGTAAAATTGCACAGTAATGTTATTTTTTGTTAAACAAACCAACTACAGCAATGTTTTTAATAATAAACACTATGTGTTTACTTTATTCGATATGAATTAAACAAATTCAATAAACGTTTAACGTAATATGTATTTTTAATACATAAAATAATGAATTGAAGATAAGTGGAACTGAATAATATGTAAAATAAACGTGAAATAAATCAGTCAGTCATTCAAGGCAGATTCTGGCATGTGTATTGGTTTATGCTGCCTAACCATGCATATCAACTCAATGAGATAAAATTATCAAGAGAAGTAGAGGTATTCACCGTATCGGTGATGGTAGAAAGTATTAACATGATCCAAGAATATCATATTGTCTATTAATTGAAACCATTGGATGCTAGCTCAGTGATCTGAATGTTAAGCGCTTACTGTAAGACTCTAATGTCTTGAATACGATCTATAGTATAATCGCGGATACACATTGTTGAGGAGAAACCCGTGATAAGAACAAAAAGTCACGCCAATGCTTCCAGGTTACTTAAATAATTAGCTTGTCGGTTCACGAACTCAACAAGATGAAAAGTCCTCGTTTGATAAATTTGTTTTTTAAATATTCATTGTGGACAACACGGATAACATCAGATAAACGTTACACGAAGTGATATTATAAACATACACAGATATATCATGATTTTTAAAAAAAATGTTACAAAATTTGTTACAGATTGCTATTTTATTTCACATAGGCGTAGTGTACTATTAAAAAACTGGTCGATTAAATTGGAAAAAATTCCGGGTCGTGTATATTTGTTCGAATTACGAATGATGTGCGTTATATGCGCTAGCGTAAGGTAATGGTTACGCATACACAAACAAACAAACAAATAATGATGGTGTGATTAGGACAGTTGTGAAATAGTGTAAAATATGGTCGTCGTTATTATTCTTGTATGCATTTCAACTTGTAACTCAATATTGAATAAAACGAATATGATTAATGGTTTGTTAAATTGGTACACACTAGTTAGAATGTTGATAACTACTTAGTAGTATGTATTATTATGTGAAGCGCTATAACAACTACTACTAGTTGTAGTGGTAGTAGTAGTAATATTGGTACTATAACTACAACCATTAAAAATCAACTACATGATAAAAAAATCGTATGATTGCGTGTGAAAAAAATAAAACTAAACAGGAAAACAGTCAACCACAATCAAACATCCGCTGACTTAAATTGGCATACATTAATTAGCGCAACATGATAAATAATAAAAGAACCGGAGTAATACAGCGAGGACTAAACATCAAGAATTTGGTTTGAAAACAGAATGAAGTCATATAAGAAAGACCACTAGAACTAAAAATATTAATGAAGATAAAAAATAAAGTACCTGCGTTATTACAGCTAGTTATAAACACTATGTTACTCCAGGTCTTCAACCACTCACTGGTTACGATTATTGTTCCAACCACAACCAAGTCAGTCAGTCAACTACAACGTAGGACTAGACACATATATGTATCGGTCCAAGATGCCATACCTCATTAGCACAACAAGATGAATACCGAATTCATAGAAGTAGTCACTTCAATGGTAGTAATGTATGAAAAAATATTGTGTATAAGGATATAGTACAGGAAGAAAGATATAAACCAATTTTAATCTCATTGTTTATGGGAAGGAAAAGAGTGTATACACCGACGCCATTGTGATCGATTCTGAGCCATGTCATCCAGAGTCTCCAACCATTGGTTACGATAGTCACGCGGACCCCAACCAAGTAGTCTGCATCTACCGACATGGCTCAGACTAGAAGTTAGTGATTTAAAGCACTGATGCCATATTTTCGTTTGACCAGCCCTAACTTTCTTCCATATGTCTCCAACACTAGTCAGCATTGCACGTCGTGGTAATCGGTGTTCAGGCACACGTAATACATGGCCCAACCATCTCAGTCGATGAAGATTCAAACCCGCATCAACTGACTTACCATCATTCCCCAATACGCTGCGTCTAACCTCACTATTACTTACCCGGTGATCTCAGCAAATGCGAGCAATATTTCTAGGACATTTGTGGTCAAATACTAGTATCTTACGAGTATCTTCGACTTTTAATGGCCATGTTTCGCAGCCGTAAAGTAAAACAGAACGAACTGCTGTACAGTATACTCGTTTCTTAATTGATAGACGGATATTTCGCCTTCCGTAAATTGGCAAAAGCCAAACAAGCTTTTTGAGTTCGTGCTGAAATTTCGTCAGATACCAACCCATTAGGGCAGATCAGAATTCCAAGATAAGTGAAGTTGTCGACGCGTTCGACTACTACACTCCCTATCCTGAGTTTAGGTGTTGATGCAGGCCAGTCCTGAAGTAACAATTTGAATTTAGAGGGAGAGAAACGCATCACAAACATCCTGGAATTGTTTCTCAGTGCTATCCAAATACTCTGCATTTTATCATCATATCCTAAGTCCATACGCATGTATAATCTGCTTTAACACAATATACTTCAGACCAACAAACGAATGACGATGAGTTGATGACATAATTTAGCTTGATCGGTATCAGTTTTTAATTAAATTAATCCTATACTAGTGAATATCACTGATCGAGGTGAATACAATGTCAAGTGATCAAACGAATGACACATAGTGAATTATATTAATTAATTCATGTTTAAAATGTAATTATATAAACACCAGATATAATAAAAAATCACAACAGTAATAGCAATAGTAATAATATGACTTCTTCAATGACATATTGAGTAGATTCAATGAAAGAATTTATTGATTCCTTATCAGTTTTTATTTCATTAATCGGAAAAATAAATAGACAGTAAGTCAATAATAATAATAATGATCAAGATCAGTAGAATAGAACAATATCAATAAGTGAAATTAAATCCGTTGAAAATCGTACATATTTTGTACTCTTCACTGTCTCTTAAGGGAAAAGAAAATCCAAATACATACAATCTACATGACATGAAATCTGTGCATGTACAGGTATGCTTAAACCATTCTAATACTACTAATGTAGAACGGGAAAATGGACAGAAGAATTGTTTTATTAAAAGAACTTACAAAGCATGTACATAATAGGTAGACATAGCCTTCGAGGTGTACTCTGCAATTTAAATTGTCTTCTTGTCTGGTTATCAAGTGTTCTGCCTATTCTGTGCTGTCGATGTACTGAAACTCTTCATTTAGTTTGACTATTGTGAAAACTTCGATGTCACGTATTGTTACACACTACTTACAAACAATCTAGTAAGTAGCGTCCACCATACTACTACTATTTATCGGTGAACCAATTGTACGTTTTTCAGTAAACAACAATACAACTAGTTATTCTATATTAATAATAATAATCAACCCTTAATCCCAAAGAAATTTGATAATGAGTAAAACAATCGAATTACACAAGTGTGTGTATTTGTACGCACACGTGTTCGATGATTAATTGAAATATTTATTTGGAAAAGAAAACAATTGAGAAAACAAACACAATACAACAACTTTCTCTCTCTCCCTCACACACACACACACTTTATTCTGTACACTTACAATAACAACAAATACAATGCTAGTGTCTTGATAATGGGGAAAAAATTAATTTTAAAACGTTTTACATGGTATTGGAGATTTGTAAAGAGAGAAAAGTTGAATTTCAAGGGATATATTTATCAAAGTTGATATATTAAGTTAGCACAGATTATAAGATTAAGCTTAACAGGGTAAATCAATGTGAACATCAGAAAAGATTGAAACATGAGTATTTTTTTTAATTTTGTTTCGCCATTAAACTTTTCACGAGTTTGCTTGGTGATTATAGAGTTATAGCGATTCAATAGTAACCGAACTATAAAGTTAGTCCGTGTCAAAAACGTTTTAGTATGATTTAGATTGATTTAAGGTAAAATTTAATCGATTTATAAATGATTAGTTTATAGAATATTTTGTTTTTGTTAGAAGCGAGGAGACACCATTTAACGCCTTCTAAGACCATATGATTAATATTATAGTATGGAAATAAACAACCTGAATGTTTGCTTTTACCAGAAAGACTTAGAACAAATAATCTCTTCGTTTGATTGCTAGCTATCTATCTTTCGATTTAATTCAACATACGCTAAGAAAGGGGGTGGTAAGAGATATGTAACACATTTTTCAAACTATGAGGGATGACTTGCCATTATTTAAACATTAGATCCTACGACCAACAGTTTTATTATTCAATTTACTTTTTAAACACATGTGAACAGTATTTGGAGGACATGTTAGACCAAATACTAATATCCTAAAGTAGAAACTGAAACTGTCACTTCCAAAAAATAATAATGAGATGATTCAAATGTGAGGAAATTATCTAAATAGAAAATAACTAGTTAACAATGAAGATAGACATCTTTTTTCAACGGTTAACAAGTGTTCAATCAGTCAGTATCTAGCAATTTCGAGCATTTTTCTGTTCGTTTAATGAGTGTAATTTGGACTGAAGATTTCATTTTAGACATTAACTTGCATTTTATTTGTTTTTCATTCGACACCTTGGTTTGTGGCTACACTAACGTGTTCATGGTACAGATATATAAGATAGCTTCATGACATGAAATCTTCAATGAAAATGACACATTTATATAAAGAACATACCAATTAAATGATTTGAGCAAATGCTCGAGAATCTAAGCTAATAACTGTATGTTTATTAAACATTGGAGAGAGGACGTATAACGTGACACATTATCATTTTATATGAACTCATCATAATCCACTTCCATTAAAATATAAAAACCATACACTGAATACTTCAAATGAGAATTTCCATTATTTGTCCGTCATATTCTGTATGATTCTTCTGATTCAAGATTCCTTTCTAATTCCGTTTCTGTTTTCTTCAAGTCAAACTTCATAGCCTTCTGCTACCAGGTTCTCCACTTCCGATTGGTGTTACACACTATTTATGTCTATCGACCTAAGTAGCATACACTACACTACTACACAAACATCCAGAATACTACACGTTTATTCCTAGTAGTGTTCGCATAAAGGATAAATTAAGTTTTGAATCAGTACAGAGACGATTTTCACTTCGGATTCTTGGAACTGATTGTACCTTGAATTATAATTCTAGATGTAATAAACTTGGACTTGACTCTTTATGGAAGAGAAGACTCAAACTAGATCTTATCTTTTTCTTCAAAATACTTTATAAACTATCGTTTATATCCACTCAAGTAATTCAATATCCAGAAACTCCTAATTATAGCATACGTAACTCTTTGTCATTGGTGAAACAAACACATTTTAAATCATCTCTCTATATAAATAACTTTACCAGTAAATTTTCCAAACTCTGTAATAATCTACCACAATCAATCCGTGAGATAAAATCACTTCCATCCTTTTGTTCGCTGCACAAATGCTTACTGCTCCTCTAAAAATGTATTAAGTGTTCTTGCACCTGTAAGTGTATTTTATTTCACAAATGAAATTGTAGGAACTTTAAATGTTTAGCCATTGTCATTACTGAATCCACTAAGCAAAACTACCTACCTGCTGTTACTTTATACTTACAACGTCCCTGGCAACCTAAACTAGATCACAAAATAACCTGACATGTATTATGGTAGATCTAACTAACTAATTTTGTTCCGTACTCTCTGCTTCCGTTTTATTTCCTTTAGTTATAGATGGATATGATCAATTATATATGGAGCAGAAAATGACCTTAAATGCACCGTTTTATACATCAACAGGATGTCAACCTCAAAAGAATTAAAAGTTTTCGGCTGGAGCCTTTCATTGCTGTAATATATGTGAAAATTAATGAAAGTAAACACTAAAAGAAGAATGAAATTTTTAGTGATGCGAAATATGTTTGATTTACACTCTTATGTGTAAGCCCTTTATAAGAAGAACAATGTGGTAGAGGAGAGACATAAAAGCTTTAACTAACGTATTGATGACGCTTATATATAGAAAGTACATAGAAATTTATTTATGTCCTGAAAAAGGAACAAAGTTCAAATGAATTAAAATTCAACAATCTATTGCACGAGTCCAGCAACAGCATTTTTTTAGAAGTATGAGGAGATAGAAATACATGTAAAACTGGTCATAGAAGATTACAAAACCAGTTTGACACTGGATTATTAACGTGAAATAGCACATAATTTGAATGTGCATATCTAAATATGTTCAAATGTCTTAAGAAAATTTTATAATGTATGCAATATTTACATCCATATTCGACTGATTTTTGCCTCTTTGATTTGCTATATTCAGTCAGTTAATATATTGCCGGGATTGCACGTGCATCCACTCATTGTCTTACCACAAATTCTGAGATTCTAAAATTCTCATAACTTTCTTTTAATTTCAATAATTTATATTTTCTTTTCGAATAGTATCTTCGATGCTTAATCTTTCTAATTACCATTCATACTGCTACAACCTAATATCCAGGGGTTAGATCTAACAAATTCATCTCAGTGTGTTAATGGTTTATGACAAGTGGAACAGATGTACATACGTACCAGGTTCTATGTTGTGACTGACTGATTGACGGGATTATTTTAATGTAGTGATAAATCGGCCTTTTGATAGTTACCCATATTAATAATGTGTCCCCTATTTCATATGCCCTTTTGAATAGATACTCCACAAAACTATTAATGACCATAAATCAATGCAGATAGCTAAGATTGCATAGAAATAATACATGATAGATATATTACACATAATGGAATACATATTAGGGATTGGTGTGTGATGTATAGAATGTTGATTTGAAAGAACAAAATCACATAAAATAAACGAATCTATGTAGTTTATCAATATTTAGACACCTCTATTAGTCTATGTGTAGTTGAAAAAAAAAGAAATTTCAGATCCCAGGTTTACTTGTGATCAATATCAGAGAGTTACATTTTGAAATGCCTATTTAACTACAGACAAATAAAATAATAACGATGGTCATAAAAATTTTGATAATTCGTTTTTTCTAAGGGAAAAAAACGTGGGATGGCTGAATAAGGGGAAAAATTTAATCAGTTTTTAGTTGTTTATATATGTATGTAGATATCATTCTGTGAACTTATAAAATTGTGCATAAACATGCGCAAACAAGTGGAATGTATATATGTTACTTAAATCAATGAAATTGTAATATGTATTCGATGTAATAAGGGAAAAACTTTCAATTAGATAATCGGAAGAGACTATAATTTATGGACGATTTAATTAGATTTAGAATAATATGACTTGGATTTCAGTGTGAAATTCATTCAGTCATTTGACTAAAGAAAAGTTGTGGCAGTTTAGCTGATGTCAGTTCGTGATGAAAACCCTAACCATCAAATGTAAATTGTAATCCTAATTACACACACTAGTTTGTAATCCTCATTTAAACCAAGTTAGTAAGTAAACATTCTCAAGGTGAATTTAGAGTCGCTCGAAGGTCATCCACAAATTGTAGTCTCACCAATAATTGTTATTATCATTATAAGAAGAAAGATTAATATCAATCCAACATTGTTTTGTTTCTGATTGTATAAACTTTAATGTATTCCTATTAGGCTAGTTGAAAATTAGGAGAATTATTGTTGAACATATTAGTACCGTATTTCAGTATTGTACCTTTAGGGTTCAAATGTTAACACACATTTTAATTCCACTGAGTTACCAAGTTCAGATATTCATTAAATTTATTTAACAGGTATGAATGTTTGCATCACGATTATTAGTAAGAGTTTGAATCATTTTGTTATTGATATTTAGAACTGTAAGAAAAGTTTTAATGGTTAAATTAGGCAAACTTTCAACCAGTAGGTTGAAAGAATTGAACCATTATTCTTTACCTACTTCAGTAGTTTAAATAGTAATATGATTAGCTGTCAAACGAGAGAACAACGTAAGTTAAATCCGGGTATACAACTTAATAATTGATTCTACCACAGTCGTTATTAAGGAATTGACAACTGATTAACATAATAGGGTAAATGTAGACAGATCCATTTTTTCTTGTAACAATAACAATAGCAAAGCAAAAAGTTTTATTCGTAAACAAAAAAACATAGATTGCCAGAATCGTCTAATGAAAAAAAAACCTGGACATAAACACTCTTAATTAACTTTTTTTTCCTAACAATAAATCTGTGCTGTTCACTACCTTCAAGAAATTTGAAGTTCTACTAACGAGAGAAGACGTGATTTGCGGGCGTCAAAACCAACCCTGTCACTTGTGAGCCAAGTATCACTGAGACTGATATATGATATTTGTATTAAATCGCGAAGTGATCGAAGTTGAAACTGTGAGTTGTTGATATACTTATTGAATAGTCTAAAAGGAAAACATACGTTTTCTATGGATTTTGAAAACTCTAAGGTTCATAGGTACAGCGAAATCTTATAGACAATAAAAATGTCCAGGATTTCCTTAGTACTCAACGGTTGCTAATCCATCTAACAAAACCAGTCTGTAATTGCTTAATGTAACCATATGTTTTTAAATCACGATAGTTAGGGCAAGAAGAAAAGTTATGAATTAAACAAGTATTAGAGAATTATGATAACATAAAAAACATACCCTCTTGAATATTACTATTATGATTCGTAGTAGTTGTTACTCCAATTGTTGTAGCAACAACACTGACACCACCACCACCACTAAGATTAAATTGTTCTTTAAAACTATTTTGATGTAAACGATCACATCTTGACAGTGAATTAGGATTATAATTATCCAATATGGAATCATTTACAATCATATCTGGAGGCGATAAAGATGATGTTCTTTGGAAATTCCAACTACATTTAGAATGTAATACAGGAACTGATGATTGTTCAGTACTGGAAGTGGTTGTAGCAGCAGTATTAATAGTAGAAGTAGTAGTAGTAGTAGTAGTAGTAGTAGTAGTAATGGTGGCAGTAGTAATCATGAATTGTGACATAGTTTGTTTACTGAAAAGACGATCTATTGTTGACGATTGATAATCATTTGTTTTAAATAAATTAAAATTATGATGTCCAGATGATATTTTTCGTAAAGGATTAAAAATACTATCACGACTACGTCTTTTTGTTAACTGTTGTTGTTGATGATGATGTGTTGGAGAGACAGATCGTGGATTACTACTTGTATCTGATGAGAATGATGATGATGCAATACCTAAATCATCAATTGTACTGTTACCAATATTAGTTTGCATTGTTGTACATATTGGAGGGTTACTATTATGAAATAAATTATCATTTTTATTACAACGATCAATTGTTCCAAAATTTGTTGTACCTAAATTTGATTGAGCTGTAACAGTTAATTGAGACGCTTCTGCACATGTAGCCGGTTTTAAATTTGGATTATAACGTAATGCAGTGAATTGTTCAATAGCTATTGTTAACTCAACTAATCGGCTACCATCAATTTCAAAAATATACGAACCACGACCTAGATAAGATATTAAGATATATTAATAACAAAAAAGGTGACTAATAAAACTAGGATGTACAAATGAATACTAACATTAGTCAGCAGTGATTAAAAGTTAGTGGAATACTACTATCGAATACAACTAGATGTGTATTAGTGATGAAGGTGGAAGTTAGATTAGGGGGCAAACCAAATTATGGCTACACTCCATGAAGTTACTGAATGATGTATTGGTTGATGCACATTACATGGCTTAGAATTGATCCAAATAATCAATAGTTAATGATTCTTTCTCTTCTCTTGGATCGTTGATTTTGAAATTATATTACAGTTTTCTATTCCATGGATTCCTTCTTTATTTTCGAATAATACTGTTTTCTACTAACACTGACGTTATCATTACTGATCTGCCTTTTGTCTTGATAATTTTGCCTCGCTGTGCTGATACGGAGTATGAAAAATTGAACTAAAGAGCATATGTCCCATATATTGGATTGTTTATAGTTGACTGACAGTTTGAATGTCTATCAAAATTACTTCAAACCAAAAGATCACTAAAAGTATTCTCATACAAGTTTAACTGGTTATATCCAACGATGCAAACACATAAGAAAGCATTCATTTTTGATATAATCTGATTAGTAAATTAGCAATTTGTGTTAAGAATTGTTATAGAGTGGGACTTTTAGATTTGATGATTGAATTATCGACCATGAGAATGAATGGGATGCCTATTGATAGAGCAACCGAGTTAATACTACTTTTCACAAGACTGAGTTACTGATGTAAGATCTCAAATGAAAAGATATCACAAGACAGCTGTCTAGTTGAATAGACTTTCTATGTGATACAATATGCTAATATACAAAATATTAAAAAAAAAGAAACATGATTGGATATTGTAGACTATTGGAAGAAATCATTTTTTGAGAGTCATTCACTCTCCAATCAATTAAGACCTTGTAGCTTATCATTTATAAAAGAACGATATCAATCAATTGAACAGTTTCTATAGATCATAACGGTTGCATAAGGCGATATAAATAGTTGAATGGGATTAAATAATTCAATAATATGACTGTGTCAGTGTGCCTAAATTATTTATGATTTTCTAATTAACTTAAATACATAAGTTTATAAAACAGGACTTGGAAGATAATAGACAGGGTAACTATTTTACATTATTTAAAATCTTAATGATATTTTCAATAGAAACATACATTCCCAAAGTTTTTTAAGTTATTTCGACATTCATTAATTGGTTTTTTGTTCAAAGAACATTGACAAATACACATATTATTATTAGACGGTTCCATACAGGTAAACGAATGTATAAAACTTAGAATTCACTTTGGATTTTTATTCCACGGGTTTCTAAAATAGTGAGAATACTCCTACTTTATCAGTTAGTTATTTGAAACTCTAGGATCTATATGGACTAATTAAATTCCGGCATATCACACATTATTATTTATTTTATTTGTTTGAACACATAAATATTGGTACAGGGGGGCACCAAATATATATGCGCCACACATATCACACATTAAGAGTCAAGATAAAATTACCAAGGCAAATACCAAATTAATAGAAATATCACTGGTAGTATTAGTAGTTTTATTCCCGACCAAAAAATCGGAGAGGTCTATGGGCTCTTCAAGGAAAGGAAAGACCCTTGTATATAGTGCGCGAGTGGAGAAGGCAAGACAATCACTGAGATTCAGGAACAGAGGAAAAGATGGGTAGAAAACTTTAAGGAACTCTTGAATAGACCAGAACACACCAGACATAGAAGTAGAATACACAGACCTTCTTATACATTTCACACCACCAGCGACAGAAGAAATCAGGATGGTCATCAAGCCAAAGTAGCAGAACCTGACAATATATTAGTTAAAGCTCTGAAGTCAGACATAGAAGTAACTGCAAGCATGCTTCATATTCTATTCAGGAAGACTTGGCAAGAAGAACAAGTACCAACGAACTGGAAAGGACACCTCATTAAGATACCAAAGAAAGGTTATCTGGGCAAATGAGAGAACTACCGAGGCATCACACTACTGTCAGTACCAGGAAAGGTTTTCAACAGTGTTGCTGAACCGGATGAAAGATTCTGTAAACGTCCAACTTCGAGATCAATGAGATCGCCACACTACGGATCATCATTGAACAATCAGTTGAGTGGAACTCGTCGCCATATATCAAATTCATTGAATATGAAGAGTCATTTAACAGTGTGAACAGGAGAACATTATGGAAACTTTTTCGAAACTACGGAGCAGCTGAGAAAATCGTCAGCATTATACGGAATTCATACGACGGACAACACTGCAAAATCGTGCATGGAGGACAGCTGAAAGTTGCATTCCAAGTAAGGACCAGAGTCAGACGGGTCTACCTACTCACCCCGTTCCTCTTTCTTCTGGTGGTTGACTGGATTATGAAGACCTCAACATCTCAGGGGAAGCACGGAATACAATAAACAGCTTACATGCAACTAGACGATTTGGACTTCGTAGACGACATAGCCCTTCTGTCCCATATACATAAACGAATGAAGGTGAACACAGCCAATGTATCAGCAGTCTCTACATCAGTAGGCCTCAACATACACAAGGGGAAAACTAAGATTATCAAATACAAAACGAAGAACACTAACCCAATCACACTTGATCGATAAGCTCTGGAACAGGTCGAAATCTTCATGTATCTGGGTAGCATCGTCGACGAACGAGGCGGATCCGAAGATGTAAAAGGGAGGATTGGTAAAACAAATATCAACCAAGGCTTTATGTGCTTCAGTTTGAAAAGTCATATTGTTATAAAATTTAACTTCTCTCTCTTTCCTTCACACACAAACATAAATAAAATGAGAACCAAAACCTATTATTGACTCTAACATAAAAAAATAACGATACGATATTATGGAAATGTTTCATTATCAGATGCAGATGATGGATTACCTTTTCCTGAAGCTGGACTACATTCCATGAAAAACAAATATTTGTTTGGATTATTGAAAGCATTAGTACTTGGTGATGTTATCATTGTTGATGTTGTTGGTACTGTAGATATTGTTGTTAATCCAGTTCGTGATCCAGTTCTGTGATGATCTAAATTCAGTGGATTACCAGTATTAAACGAAGATGAAGATATAGAAGAGGCAGATGTTGTTGTTAAATTTGTTGAAACATATGTTGTAGAATTATTGGTGATTCCTGTCGTAGAATTACTCGTAGTAATAGTAGTAGTAGTGGTGGAAGTATTGGTGGAGTTAATATTACTATTGTTTGATAAAAATTGATTTGCAGTTTGTGCAGGCATTGTCATTGTATATGCTTTATCAACATGATCTAATCGCCAGTTACAAATAAATTTACATCCAGTCGACGGTTCACCTACTAAACATAGACGCCAATGTTGTACATGTAAACTGCCTTGAAGACCTTGAAATAGTTTACTACCATCACCAGTATGACGTAATGTGACTCGAAATCGATTGTCTGAATTTTTTTTTAAAGAAAAAAAATGGAAAGTAAATACACGAATTAATCTACACAAAAAATACCACTCAAATATATATGGAACCAAAGGAAAGGGTTGATATCAATGATACTATCTATATAGTCAATCAGTAATAAGCAACGCATAATACGGTATATACGTACACTGATTCAAATTGTTACACTATATCAATATACAGAAAGATGAAATTATCAAGGAAAATGCAACAGTAATAGAACTAGTAATAATATCATTGGTGGTAGAAATCACTTCGTGAATTCAACTGAAAATACTACACTCTCCACAAATCCCCAATACTGATAATACACTCTTTCCCAACGCGGCTGATATTTTAGTCTCTCAAAACATTCTTAACTGAATTCGTGACGATACCAAAAGAAATAACCTACTAAGAAATATACAATAAGCAAGTCATTAAATTTTGGAGTCAAACTTGAGAAAGTTACCCTAACATACTCTATACAAGAACAATTGATTAGTTTCAGTTTGTGTACAAATTGTATGAAATTTCAACATTGATGTAAAGTTGTAGTAGCTAATTCTAGTGTACTTTTAAAAAAATATTTCCGTTTATAATCATTTGTGATATTTCAGTAAGTGATATAGTTAAAGAGAGAAGCAGGTTTTTTTTCCTGTTGTTTACATTTTGATTGCATTGTACTAAAATAGCGAATTGCAAAATCATTACAGGTTATTTTAAACAAAATTTTTTTGAATTACAGTTAAACCAATTCATTTGTTGTAGAATAGGCATCAATCCTGATCTGAGTCATGTTAGTAAATGCAGACTACTTGGTTGGAGACTCGGTGTGACATGGCTCAGAATCGATCACAATGGCGTATGTATATACACTCTCTATCATCTCTTAAAATATGAGATGAAGACGGCTTCACATCTCTTTCTTGGAACTATTTCTTTCTTCCTGTACTATATCCTTATATCCAATCTTTCTTTTACATGTTACCAACATTGAATTAACTACTTCTATGAATCCGGTGTTCATCTTGTTGTGCTAATGAGGTATGACAACTTGGACTGACTGATTGAGGATAGGCATCAAATGACATTTAAAATAGACGATAGAAGTTGAAACAAACTCCATAGCATTCAAAACTGCAATTGTAAAAGCTTTTTTTTCTTGACAAGTAGCACAAAAACGGAATGTAATTTTAGGGAAAATGATTACAAAGAGATATTTTCTGCAAGAACTAGACAAATTAAATTGCTATCATCATTTAATGTTAAAAAACGACGGTGAAAGATAGTGTGAAGTGAAGAAAATCGAACATAGTATAAACGTGATACAATGATGTGAATAGTATGAATAAACTTTGAGACTATCATACGAAGAATTGTTATTTGTTTTCATTGTATAATTAGTAGGTTGTCATATTTCGATATTCGCTTTCTTTCTTTAAGTTTTCTTTTGATCTGTAAATAGTTATCATGTGCCCTATTGTTCAAGGTTTATCAGTAGTTTTTTTTAACCAGTTTTGCATTCCTAATGATTAAGCTATGTACACTTGTAATTCCCTAATTGTCGTTGTGTAGTGAGGTATTTCAGGAATATTATGAGTTTTGAGTCATTGTTGAATATAGAACTAATCTGCTCTTTATCCTCGTCTTCCGAATTGACAATGGATTAGAAGAGTGGTTCGAGGACCAATACGTGTTAAGGTTCTGGTTTTTGTCCATTGGTCGCTTTATCGTTAGATAAACAGATCATCAACCCAGCAGGGAATACAGGTGAACTAGTCAATAATCAGACATTAAAGAAAACAAATGCTTTCCATAATGATAGATCGATTGCAGGTTTCCTATCCAATCCAATACAAAAAAAAATCTGTTAATATTTTTTTCGTTAAATCAAAAACAATGGGAATTCACACTTAAGTATTATCAAGGAACGAGATAATAACCAATAGACAGTATTAGATGAGGATTGTCGTATATCACCTAAAGTGAATATAATGTGAAGGATATAAATAGTCTATATGGTTCTGCTTATTCTGTAGCTTAACGATATCGTGCTCATCAATCAATTTGTCGGTCAGTTAGTTATAAGCATCAGTTCAGGTCCCTATATTAAAATAGCACAGTTAAATGAAAATAAGATGGAAGGGTAGCAAAGGCATCAAGATACTAGTAAGTCGATGACGGTAAAGTAGGTTAAACATAGAGAATATGATTCGTAAAGTAACAATGAACTCGCAAAATGAAACATAATGAAAATGTCATTTTAAATCTCACGGATAACAAAAAGTGAATAAATCTATCCTACTGTGACCGGTATTGAGCCATATCACCTAACATCTTCAACTGTTGGTTGTAGTGATGGTATGGATACCAACCAGGTATTCTGCTAGCTACTACATCGGAAAGTCTATATGCATGTGGGAATGATTGAGTAAAATCATTATAAAATATGATTATCTCGTGATTTTTAATAAGATATCAATTGTACTGTTAAGATAATCACTAAAAGGATTTTCTTCGGGGAGGAATAGGATGTATCCACTTTAAAAAATTAAACTCATGACATCTAAATTGAAAAAAACAAGAGCATATTTTACATAGTAGTTTAAACTTTCGGCTTTTTATACATGTATGGATCTGCTAAGTAAAACATGTGATAATAGCTATAAAACTAGTGTATATCACCTGATAGACTGTGTATAACAATGTATCACATGTGTCATTATTTCATTAACCTGGGTTTACCTAAACGTACAAAATGTAACCAAAAAAATGAACTGGTTAATTCCATATGAGATCACATACTTTAAATTTGTGGGGAAAAAAAGAATTTGACTCGAGTTTCGGACAAAAAAAACCAAACAAACAAACAAAATACCAAACAATAATCGTTGTTATCCAAGATCTGATCCAGTCAATATGTGATAAAATTAGAACAGGTAAGCAAAAGAAAATCTTTTCAAAATTTCGCTAAATTAGCCAGCGTATTTAATTAAAAGGATCAACATATATTAGTAAGAAGAGATCCAACAGTGGATTCTGATATTGTATGCACTATTTCAAATGCTCCTCAGGAGTCAGTCATATACTGGACGCACAACTAAATAAATAGGTCATCGTATTTTTGAATATCACCCTTCATGGTTGATTAACCAACTAAAAACAATAAAGTCTGTGCAACCTGACCTCTTAATTAACCACACTTACAACTGGCAAGTCTTTCGGTTTTATACTTTGCATCACAGACTGATCATAGTTAAGTATCGATTGGTATAAAAGAAGTGCCGGATATATGCTTATTCTTCCTAGTATGAGAATCCTGCACATTCAGCACCCTACTAGGCATAAAACCCAAGATTCGAAAGTTTCACAGCTAACGCTTAAACTTAAAATCAGCCTGAATCCACCTACGAATAATGGCTTACATGTTTAACTTCAATTCTGTTTAGTCTCGACTTCCAATTTTATCTTTACAATGTTTAGCTGTAATACGCTAGTTACTTTAATTTCTCGGCATGATATTCATAAATCACAATAAAAATTCTTAACCAAATGCTTAGTTTCAGAATTACCAAATTCCTATTGAGTTATTTTATTCCAACTTTAATTTCGCATCTTTTGAGTTACCAACTGATAAAGTAGTTTGGAGAAAATATTGAGAATTAAATTGTTAGCTGGATGGAGGAAGTCGGCAGGAATCCCTATAGCTAATTTTCGTGCTATTTGGCACTTGTCAGCAAACCATATCCGTAATCTAGATGGAACTCGCGCCTGCCAGACAATCACAACCCGTGTCACCCAGTTACACGAACTGAGAAGTTACTAGTAAGTTATTAAGGTTACAACTGACTTTCTATATGACTGTAAGATAGAATTCGATCAGCATTGAAAAGGACTAGACAAACTCTACTTGGTGATCAATCAATCGAGACAAATATTTAGTAAATTAATTCACTACTATATATATTTGGTACGGATCTTTATACTGAATTATGACACCTATGTATAGTAGAGTGTAAAGCCATGAAGAGTAACTAATTATTATCTGTCAAATTCAATATTACAGTGCTGATTCAAAGTGACACTAGAGATTGTCAAAAAATATTCAATACAATGTCAATTTAGGATATATTCACATATTCCCAACACAAAACAAACTATTTCTATATTTCTGTATAAAAAATAGCACAGGGAAAATTAAAGAACCCTATTAATTAGATAAAGCTTAAATTAAGTAGTTCAGATCGTGTGTCAATTGAAGCTAGACGAGCATAGAAAACCTGGAAGCATGACTAATACATTCTACTGATAATACACATTTAATTTTAACAGGAATTTTCCCTTTAGAAAAACGGTATTTTCTCATGAAGAAAATTGTACGAACTATGTATTATAGTGTAGGAGTAAAGAAAAAATAACACCTCTATTAAAAATTACTGATCACTAACATTTTTCATGATTAACAAACAAATCAGAAAGGATTTTTGTGGAAATTTTAGTAATTTCAATGGTCGAAATCATGAGTCAATTGAAGCTAAACCACCATGGAAAACCTGGAAGCACTCAACAGCCGTTTCGTCCTAGTTAAGGACTCCTCAGCAGTGCGCATCCACGATCTCCCCCGAGATCCAAACCCAGGACTTATCAGTCTTGCGCGCGAGCGCTTAACTATTAGACCAATCCACCAAATTGCGCCACCGTTGTCTTCAGTGAGTTGATATTTCACAACAGACTTGGCTGAAATCCATTGGTCACGGCTTCTCACTAGAACTCCAGTAAATGCCTCTTGAAGTCAGTCACTAGTGAGCAGATATCTCATTTGAATGAATATTTATAAGGGCTTAGAACATATTGAATTTAATTCAAGATATATAGGTTTAAAGTTAGGGTTTGTTTTAGTTCAATTAAGAAATTAATTTCAATAGTTGAATTCATGAGTCGATTTTTAAGATAATCCATGATTGAAAACCTGGATGCATTGGACAGCCATTTCGTTCTTAC